CCTCTCTCTCTCTCCCCCCTCTCTCCCTCTCCCTCCCCCTCCCCCCCTCTCTCCCTCTCCCCCCTCTCTCTCCCCCTCTCTCTCCCCCTCTCCCTCTCTCCTCCCCTTTCTCTGTCTCTGCCCCCCCTCTCTCTCCCCCTCTCTCTCTCTCCCTCCCCCTCTCTCCCCCTCCCCCCTCTCTCTCTCTCTCTCCTTCTCTTTCTCTCTTCTTTCTGTCTTCAGTTTGTTTTCTCTCTTTTGCTTTCTTTCTTTCTCTCTCTGTCTTTCTTTCTCAGTTCAATTCAAAATTCAATAGAGTTCTATTGGAAGAACCAAATAACATTTTAGCATTGCCAAAGCAGTTTGGGGTAAAGGGTGGGGGGGGGGATATAAAGGGGGGTGGGAAGAAGGGTCTATGTAAAGGATTTTTAAGTCCTCAGTTTTTCATGTCACTCTCAGTCTGTGGCATGCTGTTACATATTGTGCAGATATTTTCACCATTGTCTCCTCTTCTCCCGGGAGAATTTTGAGTTTCCTCTCCCCTTCCATAGAAGTGATTAGAGTGGAGAGTCTTTGGAAATGAGTGTCCTTCACTGATGAGTACTTGGGGCACTGTAGCAGGAAGTGGTCTTTATCCTCCAGGACCTGCCGGTCACATTGCTGGCACACTCTCCCTGGGTTTGTAGGTCTGTTTGTGCCGCCATGATTCCATTTCCAGACTGCGGGCATTTAGTCTATACCGGCTCAGGGTCTGACTGTCTGTGGGGTCTTGTAGAACCTCCAGATACGGGGCTAGTTTGTAGTCTCTCTCTTTCCTTTCTTTACCTGTGTTCATTTTGGTTCTCTCCATTGTTTACGAGCCTCAATAACTTAACCACTGGACCTCCAGAAGGTTTTACCTACTTCATGACCAGGACTTTTTTTTTGCTATTCAGCACTGCGCTACTTTAACTGGCAATTGCACGATCCTGCAATGCTGCACCCAAATGAAATATATATCATTCTTTTCCCACACAAATAGAACTGGGTTTTTGTATTTTTTTTCTCTATATAAATGAACAAAATACCAATCAAACTTTGCTCCTCTGATTGCTTTGGATTTTTTTGGGCTCCTCTATAGCCAGAGGAGCAAAGTTTGATTGCTTTGGATTTTTTTTGGGCTCATCTATAGCCAGGGGAGCAAAGTTTGATTGCTTTGGATTGTTTGGGCTCCTCCATAGCCAGAGGAGCAAAGTTTGATTGCTTTGGATTTTTTTGGGCTCATCTATAGCCAGGGGAGCAAAGTTCGGCTATAGAGAAGCCCAAAAAAATCCAAAGCAATGAAACTTTGCTCCTCTGGCTATGGAGGAGCCCAAACAATCCAAAGCAGAGGAGCAAAGTTTCATTGCTTTGGATTTTTTTGGGCTTCTCTATAGCCAAACTTTGCTCCCCTGACTATAGATGAGCCCAAAAAAAATCCAAAGCAATCAATTTTTTCTCCTCTGGCTATACAGGTGCCCAAAAAATCCAAAGTACTCAAACTTTGCTCCTCTGGCTATAGGGGTGCCCAAAAAATCCAAAGCACTCAAACTTTGCTCCTCTGGCTATAGGGGTGCCCAAAAAATCCAAAGCACTCAAACTTTGCTCCTCTGGCTATAGAGGTGCCCAAAAAAATCCAAAGCACTCAAACTTTGCTCCTCTGGCTATAGAGGTGCCCAAAAAAATCCAAAGCACTCAAACTTTGCTCCTCTGGCTATAGAGGTGCCCAAAAAAATCCAAAGCACTCAAACTTTGCTCCTCTGGCTATGGAGGTGCCCAAAAAAATCCAAAGCACTCAAACTTTGCTCCTCTGGCTATAGAGGTGCCCAAAAAAATCCAAAGCACTCAAACTTTGCTCCTCTGGCTATAGAGGTGTCCAAAAAAATCCAAAGCACTCAAACTTTGCTCCTCTGGCTATAGAGGTGCCCAAAAAAATCCAAAGCACTCAAACTTTGCTCCTCTGGCTATAGAGGTGCCCAAAAAAATCCAAAGCACTCAAACTTTGCTCCTCTGGCTTTAGAGGACCCAAAAAAACCCCTAAATTTACCTTACTCCTACTAGCAACCTAACTAGGAGGACACTTCTGAATAAAAGCTGCCAGGAAGACCTAAAGGGCACCTTGACCAGTCCTGCATAGCTCTCCATTCTAATCAGACACAATTCATATATCCGATACAAAGTATCACTTTGAAAAACTTTATTCTGTTCATAAAAAGTTGACCTGCAACCAATAGTGTTCATCTCTGATGCATCTCCACAGCGTTGGCACGCTCCATTGTCAGCGCCGCCGCATAGTAATACAAACATCCCTCTTTTCCATTAGACCGCAGTTGTGCTTTAATGGCTGTAATTAGCAATGGTAGTAATTGATTTTTACTAAGCAAATGGAACGCTGAATATATTATCGCTGGAGTTCCTGAATTTTCAATAATACTATAAAATCTTGCAAATATTGTGTCTCATTATCAGCACGTCACTAATTAACATAAATATGTGTATTTATTAGTTCTTTTCATGTACTTCCAAGAAAGTTCCACAGCTCATACTATTCTGCTTGTTATGAGGATTGGCAGGTCCAGACTGACAGTTTGGCAACGGCAGAATTTGCCGTAGGCTGCGCACATTTTTCCCCGTGACCCCGAGCACTGTAGTGAGTTGGCGGCGATCGCAGTTCTCATTCATTGTTTCTCATTTAAGCAACTGGACACAGATATAGGCTGGGGGGGGGGGGTTGTATTACAATTTAGTCTGTGAGATTGACAGAGTTGAGATGGGAGTCACTTTTGGTGGGGGGCCCATGGAACACAGCTCACTTTGGAGAGGTGGGGAGACCCCTGTCTCAGCTCCCCATATCCCTATTATGTGTAAGTCACCCTGTGCCTGTTAGGGGTACAGGGTGATCTGTCCTAATATTGGGGTGGGGGGGTGGTTGTGGATTGTTTAATGCCATGTGGTTGCATCCCATTGTTCTATTGTGTCTGTTGCTTGGGAGCAAACTATTATGGGATGTATGTGTTTGTGTATTGGCTTGGTGGGGGGGGTTGTCTCCAGCAGCCCTCCCTCCTGCTGGGACTGTCTGCTGGTGTGTCTCTTGTTACTAAAGGTAGATTGCCCCGCCCTGTGTCATGATGCAGGGAGGGGGGATTGTCCCCCTGAATGTATATATTTTGTATCAGTGTTCAAATAAAGTAGTCTATTTCCTGGTTTACTTCCAAGATTGGTGTCTTCTAGTCTAGTATGGTCAGCTGTGATCGGTGTTCGGACAGGGAATCGGTATCCTACCGGAGGTACCCAAGTGCAGTCTGGGGACGGTTCTGTTACAAGAGTGACTCTTCATTAAGAGAGGATTCCTCTTTAAACCCAAATTCACCAGCAAAGTTTCAAAAAGTACATAAAGGGGTCAGTCTGTCCAAAAGTTATCTACGATGTGTCTACGATGCTCCTACACTGAGCTCTCCCTGCCATCATTTCTGGCTCTCTTCCTGTCCACCTGGGAGTTTAGGGAGTTCCCACCTTTTTTGGTTCCAGTTCTTCCTTTTATATTCTCCATCATACAAATGATATAGATAACCCAGCAGGGATGGTGGGAGCTCCCTATAATGGACACAGCGGGTGTACAGACCCGGGAAATTAGCACAGGGATGGTGGGAACCCCTCATAATGGGCACAGCGGGTGAACAGACCCAGTAAATCATCACAGGGATGGTGGGAACCCCTCATAATGGACATAGCGGGTGTACAGACCCGGGAACTCAGCACAGAGATGGTGGGAACCCCTTTTAATGGGCACAACAGGTGTACAGACCCGGGAACTCAGGACAGGGATGGTCTAAACCCCTCATAATGAGCCCAGCAGGTGTACAGAACCGGGAACTCAGCACAAGGATGGTGGGAACCCCTCATAATGGATGCAGCAGGTGTACAGACCTGGGCACTAAGCACAGGAAGGTGGGAACCCCCTCATAATGAGCACAGTGGGTGTACAGACCCAGGAACTTAGCCCAGGGATGGTGGGAACCCCTCATGATGGGCACAGTAGGTGTACAGACCCGGGAACTCAGCACAGGGATGGTGGGAACCCCTCATAATGGGCACAATAGGTGTACAGACCTGGGAAATCAGCACAGGGATGGTGAGAACCCCTCATAATGGGCACAGCAGGTGTACAGACCTGGGAACTCAGCACAGGGATGGTGGGAACCTCTCATAATGGGCACAGTAGGTGTACAGACCTGGGAACTCAGCACAGGGATGGTGGGAACCTCTCATAATGGGCACATCACATGTGTAGACCCAGAAACTCATCTTCAGGTGCCTCCAGTGAAGGGTCCTGGTAATAATACATCATACAACGACATTGTAGACAACCTTGCGGTAACAAGTTGGTGAAGACCCTTTTCTGCTCCACCATGACCATCCCCTGCTTACAAAGCCAGCTCCATAAAGACATGATTTGTCTAGTTTGGGGTGGAGGAACTCGAGTGTCCTGCACAGAGCCCTGACCTCAACAATACTGAACACCTTTGGGGTGAATTGGAACACGGATTGTGATCCAGGTGTTCTCATCCAACATCAATACCTGACCTCACAAATGGGCTCAATATCCCACAGACACCCTCCAAAATCTTGAGGCAAGCCTTCCCAGAAGAGTGGAGAATATTATAGCCACAAAGAGGGGCAACTCCATATTATTGTCTATGGGGGAGGGGCACAACTCCATAGTAATGGCCTTGGTTCTGGAACAGGATGCCCTACAAACTCATGAAGGTTTGATGGTCAGGTGTCCAAAAACGTTCGGTTATATAGAGTATCTTTTATACATGACCAGGTGGTCACTGACAGTTCGTTGTTATTGTTGCGTATTGTTGAGTTGTTCGCTTGTCCCGGTTGCATCTCACCTGTTGCATCTCTTCTTTTCAGATATGGGTAACTTTGAAGAAGGTGACACCACCCAGACAGTGTCTCATGGAGATGCAGCTGTCATCCCTGCCCCCAGCATCGCCAGTTTTCCACAGCCACAAGTTACGTGGTTCAGAGATGGCAGAAAGATCCCTCCAAGCAACCGCATGTAAGTAGTCCTATATCCAGGTGGTCCATTGTCCTTGCCGAGGGTTTGGTGATCCTTGTGAGTTTGGGGAGATGTCTTCAGTTGGGGGCAATATCTGCTCACCTGTTATGGTTCTTCACAGCTTCTGTGCAGTCTATAGACAAGACCTGAGGATCCTTTTCTTCTCTTCCATTTGGGATTGATTAAGTGCAAAGCCCATTTCCCTCACCGAACACATTTTATCAAATCTCCAGAAAGCACACTAGAGCCTTCTGTCCCACTTCCATCACAAATCCAGAAAAATAGGAGGTTTGTTCCTCACAAGGGAAGCCATTCAAACCCCTTCTTTACTGCCTCTGGACTAATGCAGGCCATAGATGGGGAGAAAACCAGCCGATTTTTCTTTAAAAAAACAAAAAATCGGTCGTTCAATCGGCTGACATTACCAGGAACGGTAAAAAAAATCGGCCGATTTTTCATCCTGTCTACAGCCGGCAAAAAGTGTCCCTGCAGAGAGCTCCGCTATTTCTTTGACATTTATAGCGTCTGCAACATTGTATCTATTTGTATCCATTTTGGATACAGATGTTTTTATTCAGAAACAAATAGATACATTGTTGCAGCCGCTATAAATGTCAAAGAAATAGTGGAGCTCTCTGCAGGGACACTTTTTGCCGGACGGGAATTCTTCTTCTTCTTCATCCTCTTCTTCTTCATCATCCTCTTCTTCTTCATCATCCTCTTCTTCTTCTTCATCCTCTTCCTCTTCTTCATCTTCTTCCTCTTCTTCTTCTTCTTCCTCTTCTTCTTCTTCTTCCTCTTCTTCATCCTCTTCTTCTTTATCCTCTTCTTCATCCTCTTCTTCTTCTTCATCCTCTTCTTCTTCATCATCTTCTTCTTCATCCTCTTCTTCCTCTTCTTCTTCTTCATCCTCTTCTACTTCATCATCTTCTTCTTCATCCTCTTCTTATTCTTCATCTTCTCCTTCTTCTTCTTCTTCCTCTTCTTCTTCTTCTTCCTCTTCTACTTCTTCATCCTCTTCTTCATCATCATCTTCTTCTTCATCCTCTTCTTCTTCTTCTTCGTCTTCTTCTTCTTCCTCTTCTTCTTCTTCATCCTCATCTTCTTCTTCATCTTCTTCTTCTTCATCCTCTTCTTCTTCACCATCTTCTTCTTCCTCTTCTTCTTCTTCTTCTTCATCCTCTTCTTCTTCTTCTTCATCTTCTTCTTTTTCTTCATCTTCCTCTTCATCCTCTTCTTCTTCTTCATCTTCTTCATCTTCTTCATCCTCTTCTTCTTCTTCCTCTTCTTCTTCTTCCTCTTCTTCTTCTTCATCCTCTTCTTCTTCATCATCCTCTTCTTCTTCTTCTTCATCCTCTTCTTCTTCATCCTCTTCTTCTTCTTCATCATCTTCTGACACCAACCACGTGGCACTATTCCCCCCACTAACACCAATGATGGAGCACTATTCCTCCCACTGATACCAATGATGGGGCACTATTCTTCCCACTGACACCAATGATGGAGCACTATTCCTCCCACTGATACCAATGATGGAGCACTATTCCTCCCACTGATACCAATGATGGGGCACTATTCCCCCCACTGACACCAATGATGGGGCACTATTCCTCCCACTGACACCAATGATGGGACACTATTCCTCCCACTGACACCAATGATGGGGCATGACTCCTCCCACTGATACCAATGATGGGGCACTATTCCTCCACTGACACCAATGATGGGGCACTATTCCTCCCACTGATACCAATGATGGGGCACTATCCCTCCCACTGACACCAGTGATGGGGCACTATTCCTCCCACTGATACCAATGATGGGGCACTATTCCCCCCACTGACACCAATGATGGGGCACTATTCCTCCCACTGATACCAATGATGGGGCACTATTCCCCCCACTGACACCAATGATGGAGCACTATTCCTCCCACTGACACCAATGATGGGGCTCTATCCCTCCCACTGACACCAATGATGGGGCACTATTCCTTCCACTGACACCAATGATGGTGCACTATTCCCCCCACTAACACCAACGATGTGGCACTATTCTTCCCACTGACACCAGTGACGGGGCACTATTCCTCCCACTGACACCAATGATGGGGCACTATTCCTCCCACTGACACCAATGATGGGGCACTATTCCTCCAGCTGACACCAATGATGGGGCACTATTCCTCCCACTGACACCAATGATGGGGCACTATTCTTCCCACTGACACCAATGATGGAGCACTATCCCTCCCACTGACACCAATGATGGAGCACTATTCCTCCCACTGATACCAATGATGGGGCACTATTCCCCCCACTGACACCAATGATGGGGCACTATTCCTCCCACTGATACCAATGATGGGGCACTATCCCTCCCACTGACACCAATGATGGGGCACTATTCCTCCCACTGATACCAATGATGGGGCACTATTCCCCCCACTGACACCAATGATGGGGCACTATTCCTCCCACTGATACCAATGATGGGGCACTATTCCCCCCACTGACACCAATGATGGAGCACTATTCCTCCCACTGACACCAAGGATGGGGCTCTATCCCTCCCACTGACACCAATGATGGGGCACTATTCCTTCCACTGACACCAATGATGGTGCACTATTCCCCCCACTAACACCAACGATGTGGCACTATTCTTCCCACTGACACCAGTGACGGGGCACTATTCCTCCCACTGACACCAATGATGGGGCACTATTCCTCCCACTGACACCAATGATGGGGCACTATTCCTCCAGCTGACACCAATGATGGGGCACTATTCCTTCCACTGACACCAATGGTGCGGCACTATTCCTCCCACTGACACCAATGATGGGGCACTATTCCTCCCACTGACACCAATGATGGGGCACTATTCCTCCCACTGATACCAATGATGGGGCACTATTCCTCCCACTGATACCAATGATGGGGCACTATTCCTCCCACTGACACCAATGATGGGGCACTATTCCTCCCACTGACACCAATGATGGGGCACTATTCCTCCCACTGATACCAATGATGGGGCACTATTCCTCCCACTGACACCAATGATGGGGCACTATTCCTCCCACTGATACCAATGATGGGGCACTATTCCTTCTTTTACTGACCAGCAAGTCTGAGACACTGTCTACCCCCCCCCCCCCCCCCCCCAAGATCTGAAGGGCAGTAATCTGGCCCTCTGTGTATAAAGTCTGGGTACCCCTGTTCTAGAGGGATCCCGCAGGTCTGGCACAGACATAGTTGGTCCAAGCTGGAACAATGTATAAAATATACCAGGCCTAGAATTCTTCTGTAAAATCCGGCCATAAATTATCTGCATCTTCTACAAATCTGAGGATTTAAAACAAACGTCCTGCACAGAACAGACTTTAGAAGGACCCTGTTTGGGATGAAACGCGTCGCTCCTTCCCCTCTCCGAGGATTTATGCGAGTCAGAGGAATGCGTGATCCCCAAGCATGTGAAACATCAAAATGCAGAGCCGAATCTGTGCGCTGCGCTTGGATGAAATACAGAACCTGCATAAGATTTTTGGAAGGGGATCTGAGCCGTGCAGTCCTTGAACGAAGCAGCGGCCGTGTACCTGCATCGGAATGATTTGTTACGGGACTATTGTGTCTTAAATTCTTCAGATTTTTAGGATGATGCAGCTGATTCATGGCCGATACGTGGCCGTCATGGATTTTAGCAGAAGATATGGATGGAACACAGACTGTCTCATGGTTTGTGAGGTGCGCTGATCACTTGTTTAGTACTCCGCAGTATATACCCTTTTTGGGCATATTTTTTGCTGGTGACCCCCCCCCCCCCCATCCTGTAGGGAGGTGGGGTATGTCACTCACCTGTGCGTTCTTCTTCTGTCTGAGCTCCCTGGCATGCAGCCAATCAGAGGCCCTTGGTTCTACCGTCAGGCGCTGTCTTAAAGGGCTAGCACATGTAATTGTCAGCATTCCAGCGATGCGTTTACACACTAACTGTCCCCGGGGCTGCCTGGTGTCTTCATGACTGTCTCCGTGTTCCTCAGCATTCCCACTTCCCAATAGCTTCTGTGATCCCTCTGCACCTCCCTGACTCAATGTGTCTCCTGAGTTCCAGGCTCCTAGCATCTGCTTTGATCCCCAGTGCACCTCTGGGACGCTTCCAGTATCCTGTGACCCCTTGTACCCTGCGTCCTTGTGTGCCCAGCACTCCAGTGCTTCCATAGATTCTCCTGTGTTCCTGTGATCTCACTGCCTCCAGACTACCCTGTGATCCCGGAACTTCCAGGAACATTCCCATGATGCCGGTGCTCCCAGAGAATGTCTGGTGTTCTTGTGTTTCAGCACCCCTGTGCTCCCAGAGACTGTCCTGTGTTCCTCTGATCCTGGCACCCCCAGTGATTCTCCTATGTTCCTGTGATCCCGGCACCCCCAGTGATTCTCCTGTGTTCCTGTGATCCCGGCACCCCCAGTGATTCTCCTATGTTCCTGTGATCCCGGCACCCCCAGTGATTCTCCTGTGTTCCTGTGATCCCGGCACCCCCAGTGATTCTCCTGTGTTCCTGTGTCCCGGCACCCCCAGTGATTCTCCTACGTTCCTCTGATCCCGGCACCCCCAGTGATTCTCCTACGTTCCTCTGATCCCGGCACCCCCAATGATTCTCCTACGTTCCTGTGATCCCGGCACCCCCAGTGATTCTCCTGTGTTCCTGTGATCCCGGCACCCCCAGTGATTCTCCTAAGTTCCTCTGATCCCGGCACCCCCAGTAATTCTCCTGTGTTCCTGTGATCCCGACACCCCCAGTGATTCTCCTACGTTCCTGTGATCCCGGCACCCCCAGTAATTCTCCTGTGTTCCTGTGATCCCGACACCCCCAGTGATTCTCCTACGTTGCTCTGATCCCAGCACCCCCAGTGATTCTCCTATGTTCCTGTGATCCCGGCACCCCCAGGGATTCTCCTGTGTTCCTCTGATCCCGGCACCCCCAATGATTCTCCTATGTT